AATAAATATTATAAAATTATTATGATATAAAATAATATAACATATATAAACTGAATATATAATTTCAGAAATAAAAATAATATATGTATAAATATTTTGTAATAATAATATCATAAGTAAAATATGAGAAGAAATTAATAGTTTATAACCATATATAGTATCCTACAATATTGTACTATAAAGTAAAAGTAATATATTTTATTATAGATGAAGTAAATAAATATATTTAGTATTATCAATAACAACCGTATATAATCTCATAAATAAATATTTAAATAATAAAGACATAAAATTTTAATAATACCTGGAATGCTGTGTAAATAGAAAATTGGAGCTAACCAAATCAGACTATATATAGAAATGATGCTTTGCTATGAAGATAGAGTAGGTAACGATTGATTTTCAACTGTTGCGGTATAATATGGAGATAGGAAATGACCAAATCTATTTGAAAATGACACATTAGGAAAATAATTTATTACCACATAATGGTTATAATATGTTAAAAAGAAAATATAAGGAAAAAAATAGAACAAATATATTTTGGAATTGACCTAATTATACTAATATGCTACACACATATATTAAATCAGGAAAAAACTAAGAAAAAAGCAATTGAAACATATTTAGGGAAAAAAATAAAGTAAGTAAAATATAAAATAAAAAGAAATGAGGTTTTCAGAATAAAAAAATAAAAATAAAATTGTATGATGTTAAATGGTATTATTATGTTAAAAATAATTGAATTGTACAATTCCGGCTTTGCTTAGTACAAACGGATTACAAACAGATTTTTTTGTTGCTGTTTCGGGGCCAAATGTTTGGATTGGCATAACTCTCTCTTTTTTGTCCCTATTTTTATTTGTTATTTTGCTTGTTTTAATAGCTGATAAACGTTAAATAAAAAAATAAACATAATATAGTTATAAACAATAATATGTATTATTTTACATGTATTAAAAGGAAGGAAAGCTATTATTGCTTGCTGAAAATAATTATAACAGAATAAGAGAAAATTTTATATACAAATTTATATCTCAATTACATCATAAATTTGGACTTGTGAATTATTTCATGCCCCTGCAAGAAAATTTTTGGATTCCCTCTTGTAATGTTTCCTCAAACAAACTTGTAGCTTATTTTCCGGTACATGGTAAGAAACAAATAAAAACAGTGTGAGAATTTATTTTTTGAATATAAAAAACAAAATTTTTGATAAAGAAAGACATTAATTTGAAGTAAAGCTTAGAGCAATGTATAAATACAAAGTGTTAATCAACGGAGGAAAAATAGCAATGAATGAGCAAAGATGGATTAGAAAGAAAGAATAGTCAAGTACAGGCAATAAATATTAGTGACTGAAATATAAATAGCAATGAATGATCAAATATATTGGCATAAGTCTAAAATAATAAGGGCAACATCAATGATAGCCATATTTGTAGTAACAATTACCCGGCACATATTAACAACAAATGAAATATAACATCATCATAACCAGGAGAGAAGAAAATATTTTGATATCAAAAAGCGGATTTTTGATAAAGATAAACGTTATATCTTAATAAGATTTAGGAAATTTTGTGAATATAAAACATCAGTTAATCAAATTAGAACAGAAAGAAGTGACTGAGAGTGGAATAGAGAAGGGAAAAAGTAAAGTGCAGTATAAAACATCTCATATAACGAACAAACATAACACTATAAATTAATATTCTAGAACAAATCAACCAAATTAAATTGAAAAAATGATTACCTGATTGAACGGACCACAGGCAAAACGATAGATCAAAGAAAGCAACGAAAATTATTCAGCATCAGGGATAGAACAAAGAAATTTAAAGGAGGCGATAAGATTAGTAAGAAATGGGTAGTATTATTATGATCTTTAAAGATTGAAAAAGCAGAGAGAATGGGGCGTAGTAGATAATATTAGCTGAAAAACATAGACAAAGAAAGTAAAAAGGTAACATACAATATATATAGAGAAAGTTACCAGTGTTTTGCTTAATCTCGGATACAAATCCTTGCAAACAGAAACCAATAAAAGTAATGATTCATTAGCAACAGCCGTCACACTGCATGAAGAGCACCGCAAAATATAACCAATAAATAACAAGCAGTTATTTTTTGGTTAGATATTATACAAAACGAAAAAATTAAAAATACACGTGGCAGATGAGAAGATTAATATAAATATTATTACATTTAAATCACGACAAATATAAATAAATCAAGATATAGTATATAAAAACAAGAACAAAAAAAATAAATAATATGAATAAAAAAATATGAAATTATGAAAAAAAAAATTTCCTCACTAATATAATAGTCGAATAACAAATAAAAAAAACAGAACAACATAAAAAAATGAACATAGATCTAAAATAAACGACCCAATATCCTAAAAAAAATTAATAAAAACATAGATCTGAAAAACATGAACGAACCCATGGAATCAAAACAAAAATATTCAACGAAATGAAGTACGAAGGTAACAAATAACGTAATGGAATAAAAAAGTACCATGCATATACAACCGAAGGAAAAAAAATGAAATATAAAACATCGAGAAATATATATATACAAAAAAAAAAGAAGATGAAAAATGAATAAATCTGGCAAGGGGAAAAAAAGATCTAGAAGGTTTTAGAAAGAAGAAATTTGAGAAACGAAGAAATCTGATGAAAAACTTAGAAAAATAGACGGATCTAAAAGGTTGCATAAGGAAAAAAAAGAAATAGAAAAATGTAGATCCAGAAACAAAGAAAGATAAACATAGATCTAGAAGATCATAGAAACGAACGAACCCAAAAAAAAAGATAATCCTGTTCAATCTAGGTACACAAGAATAAAAACAGATCTAGATCTAGCGAAGAAAAAAAATCTAAAAATTTGCAAAAAGAAGAAATATGACAAACGAAGAAATCTGGCCAAATATTTAGAAAAATAGACAAATCTAAAAGGTTGCAGAAGAAAAAAAAATGAAAGGAAAAAAAGTAGATCCATAAACAAAGAAAGATAAACATATATCTAGAAAATCATAGAAACAAACGAACCAAAAAAAAAGATAACCATATTCAATCTAAATACGCAAAAATAAAAACAGATCTAAAAGGTTGCAGAAGAAAACAAACGGAAGAAAGGGGGAAAAAAAACCCCAATCTCAGTAAAAAAAAAAAAAAAAAAAAAAAAAAAAAAAAAAAAAAAAAAGAATGAAGATTGCAGGAGCAAAGCAACGAAAAACATAAATGACAACAGAAAGAAATAATGAAAAGATGGCCGAAATCAACAAACGAAAAAGAGAGGAAAAAAACTCAGGCTCAGTCTCAAAGAAGAAGAAATGTAGAAGATTACGGAAGAAAACAAATGAAGGAGAGAGAGAGAGACGGCTACAAAAAGAAGTGAAAGAAAGCAAATGAAAGAAGAACAAACGAAATAAACAAAAGCATCAGTAAATGACCAAAATGGTCACGGCAAATAAACACACAGAAATCTAAAATGAAGGGCAATATTGTAATTTTACAAACAGGACATAATGGTAATTAAAATTTCATCAGAAGAAAAAAAATAAAACTAAAACAGGAAAGACACTGTTCATTACACTGTAACATGAACAATGAATCTCGTCATCTATTTTAGTATATGTATAATATGAGAATTTTTTATTATAATAAAAAAATAAATATAATTATATCATCAGAAGAAAAAAAATAAAACTAAAACAGGAAAGACACTGTTCATTACACTGTAACATGAACAATGAATCTCGTCATCTATTTTAATATATGTATAATATGAGAATTTTTTATTATAATAAAAAAATAAATATAATTATATTTAAAAAAAATTTATTATAATAAAATTTAAATTTTTAACTCAATTTAATAAAATGAATAGGACATAAAAGGTCGGCCAATAAAGTCCACCGGCAATGTGGTGTCATCTACAAATTGCAACAAATAAAGAGACGTAACATCTTATTCCATGTGTAATCTAATCACATGGTCATGGGCCCAGGGGACACCTGTAGTCCCAGCACTCGGTCCCACACGGTATGGCTAGACTGACTGAAGAAATAGTATATGTGGTAGTTTACGTGGACCTCGGTCTGACAATGTTTGTCCTGGTATATGGCGTTTGGGAAGTAGGAAAATTTGACCCAGCTAAGTGGCCCAGTAATACAATGTCCGTCTAGAGTCTAGCTCATATAGATTTTTCTTTGAAAAAATTATTGAACATTTCCCGTGTACGACTCAACGAAAAAATGATATTAATCACGAGTGAGAGTTAAAAGTTCGGATTCATATTTATTTTCCAACTCTTTTTCCTTTCTACTTTTTGTTCCTCAGCATCCAAGAATTCAGCATTCATGGAATATCTTCACTAAAAGTGGTTGATTTCGGCAACATGAAAACTTTGGTATTAGTTATCTAAATATTTTAATTTCATAAAATTAATGTTTATGAGAATAGAATTGAATTCTAAATGTATAATTTTTTTTAGAATATTTTAAGAATAGAAAATTTATATAGTAAATATTATAATGATTTCTACGTTAATGTTAGAAACTAATTATATAATGATTATAATTTTTATCATCTATAAGATATTTTAAAAGTTTAGTAAGGTCATGATATATGTCTAAGTCATCTTCTTTTTTTAATAGAAATAATTCACCTTTTAATTATTCGTAATGATTGAACTATGAAAACTCAAGCAGATTGTTCTATACAAAGTGTGCACACAAAATCAACAGATTGGTCTATACAAAGTGTGCACACAAAATCAAGGAAAGCAAGATTAGCTAGATGTTGAGGTTGTGGTAATCCGACATTTAACTTCACCGCTAGATATAGAGTTCAAATCTTTTTTAAGATTAACTAGACATCAGTTGTTTAACTCTAGCTTACTAGATGACAATTGACAATCTCAAAAATCCATCGTCATTGGTTGTGACACATGCAAGGACATGTATATAATGATCTCCTTAGTTTCAACACTCACAGAAAAAGAAAAAAATGGCCACACCCACACGTCAGTTTTGGCGTCTTTCAATTCTCTCCTCAACACTTCTCTTCTTCATCGTCACCATCGCCGTCCATGCCAATATTCCCTCCGTCGCCATCGCCGCCGCCGCCTCAACGACAACGAAGCCGACCGAGCTCGTGAGCGACGTCTGCAACAGAACCTCCAACTACACCTTCTGCGTCTCGGCTCTCTACGCCGACCCTCGCACGCCGACCACCGACGCCTACGGCCTCGCCTTTGTCGCCTTCGGCATGGCCTACCTCAACGCCTCCGCCACGCAGGACCTGATCACCAAACTCCTGAAGAAGTCCGCCAACGAAACGCGCCAGTTTCGGCATCTCGAAACGTGCCGTTTAGACTACAAGAAGGCCATTTCGGCCCTCGAAATGGCCTACGGTGACTTGAACTCCGAGACCTTCTTTGAGCTCGCCGAGTTGGCCGGCAACGCCTCCGCTGCCGCCAAGGACTGCCAGGCTGCTTTCAAGGATGCCCCTCACCGTCCCTTGACTGCAAGGAATCTTGGTTTGAGGGGCCTTTGTGAAATTTGTGCTGTTATTTCTAAGCTCTTCACAGGGGGGTTTTAGCAAAAAAAAAAAAGTATGTACAGATCGGCATACTTTGATTTCTGACACTTCTATTTTTCCTGAAGTACTTTGTATATGTATGTTTCTAAATGAGAGTCAATAAATCTCAGATTAATTAATGGTTATATCCCTTTTTTTGTTGATTTAATTTGAGTTTTCTTAGCAGCGTAAGCAAATTAGGCAGTGAAGGATAGCAGAAGGCTTTGATTAGTCCGCAATTAGGGTGATATTAGTTTGATACTTAAAGACTCAAGCACGATTAAGAACCTTAGTTTTGACGCCATGTCGATGAAATCAAGAAATAAGGCAACTCATTGCCCGTATTTGAAAAGTTCGTTGAGACCTGCTTCTTTTAAGGTCCTCAATTGTAAATAAATAAAACTTTTGCTTTCTCTGTATACCCGTGACAACGTCCAGACTGTATAATATTCTTCGTCTTTTTATTTTTTATGTTTTGTCGGATAATTATATATTCATTTTTAATTTTAAATTATAATTCATGATTTTTACAAAAATAATTTTAAATTATGATTTTATAAACTAAACGTACACAATTTTTAAACTTTAAACAGCTTTGGTAGCCAACAAAAAACCAACGCCTTTGTAGAGAAAACAAACGCATTTGTTCGAGTTTGATGGGCTGAAGGAATTAATTTTTTTGTTCGTGGAGGAAAAAAAAAAAGGAAAACTTCTTTTTATGAATAAAAAATAAATAAAGCTTCGGGTGAAAAAATGTGTATGCGTGTATCTTTTTTTTTTTTTTTTTTTAATGAAATTGTATGCGTGTATCTAATCTATAATCTACTAATTAGTGAGCATGTTGTGTTGACTTTTAAAATTTCTATTTTTACCCCATTTATGAGCCTTTTTTTTTTTTTTGGTTCTATGTAGTGTTTTTTCATTCCCCTTTTTAGCTCCAATGAAAAGATTAAGTAATGCTTTTACGCGCGATCTTCGACTTGTATCTCAGTAAAAGGTACGTATAAATTCAAAACGTAAGTTGTAACAAAATTCTTTTGAAATAATATCGTCTCATAAAAGGATGTCATGTATTTGTTTCTTCTAAAAAACTTTAATTTGAAGGAATGTGTAATTGCCTTTCTTCGTCGAATTGTAATTACCTTTCTTTGTCGAATTCTTCCTTCTTCTATTGTATTTATCATCGTCTTTACGCTGCCGTTTCTTTATTTCTATTTGTTTTTGTCTTTTTAGATATACTTTTGTGTTTTTTTCCCCGCTTTTCATCGCCTCTAACTTTGTTGTTATTTTGATACCTTCGCATTATTATACTTTTTTTTAGATTAATTTCAAAAATTCTCCTATGACCCTTGTAACACTTTGTCTCACGAATTTTAAAACATAACATTCGTTCTCTTCGAACTTTGTTTCATTAATAAGTTTTCTCCTTCTATTACAATGAGTGACGGAATTCGTCATGTATCAAGCACATGACCCATCTGAGAAGGATAATTCTAGACTAATTTTGAAACTAGATCTCTTGCACATAAATTTTCTTCACTGTCAAGCCACTTTCACAATTTGAAAAAAAAAATGAAAAGGCTCCCTCTCTCTAATTTCTTTCTCTTTCTCGATTATCGCTCTATCTCTAAGAAACAAAAAAAAAATCAGACCTGAGAAACTAAATCTCCACCTGCAACATCGATGGGGTTGGGTTGCCGAGGCCGGACAGAGAGTCGCGATGGGGCTGAAGAGAGAGAAAAGCAGGGTTGGGCGCAACGGTGGTGCGTCGTAGGAGGTCTAGGCTTGTCGGGGCTGGAGAAGGAGGAGTGCGTGTCGCATGACGATGGTGGGTCACGGTGCGTGATGGATTTGGGTCGCCGAGGCTGAAGAGGGAGGAGGCGCAATGGGTCAGGGAGACGACGGCGGCTGGGCTCACCATATATAGAAGAGGAGAAGAAAAAGGAGTCTCGTGTTATTCAATTGGCTTAGAGAGAGAGAGACTCGCACACATACAATAGAAATTAGAAATTAGAAAAAATATAAATTAGAAAGAAGAAAGTCAGAGAGATAGACGAGAGAGAGAGAGGGAAAGATGATTTTCTTTGTTTTTTTTTATTATTTTTTATATTTTCAAAGAGTATAAGCGTAATTGCACTTTTAATTCTCACTAAATAAGTGACATGTGCAATTTCTATCACTCATTGTAACAGAAGGGGAAAACTTGTTAACGGAATAAAGTTTGAGGGGAGCGGATATTACGTTTTAAAATTTGAGAGACAAAGTGTTACAAGAGTCATAGTTCAGAGGGAATTTTTGAAATTAATCTTTTTTTTTTTTTTTTGCATTGACGTTTTGTTTTTAACATCTTTCATTTTAGTACTCAAATGACCTGCACTTGTTTAAAACTGCTAAGAAAAGTGATGTTTTCATTATCGGAAGTATCAAAAATACGGTTGTTGATAAGCTTGGGGTCAACTTTGTGTGATTTTTAACCGTATGGACAGAGTAAGGCGATCCCAATTCTTCGATGGCTAGATTTTTAAGCTAACCCTTTGTATCTTTTACTGTCGTTTTATTTTTTTTAATCGTTATTAATTCTTTGTCGTTTTCATGTTAGATGTCTTTTATTGAATATTTTGTCGTTTCTTTTTTAATAAATCCTTACTTTTGTTGTCTTTTTCAATTGTTTGTCTTTTTTCTCTTCTGACTTGATTGCTTTTCTCACTATTAGAGGTGAAGCTCAAGTCGGGGGTTAGGAGTACACAGAGGACGGATTGGGCCGTTTAGGAGGTTTTGTTTTATGGCGGTTTGTGAAAGTTCTAAACTATGTGCCCAAAGTTTAAATGGTTTGGACGGTTTTTTAAGCTCGCAGCTTGAACGACCTATTAAAATTGAACGGTTTAATATTTGTATCCATCGTTTGACATTTTTTTTTATATTAAAGGTTTAAAATTCAAAGTACTTGATATATATAGTCAATAAAAACTAAATATGACGATGGATAAATAATTATTGTTAAACTCATAAACATAATTTGGACTAAGTATGTCAATGAAACATTAAAAGTTCAAAATCATATTGTAATTCAAAAATCAAAAGCACAACCCAACACATAATACAAATTCCAACGTCCAAAAATCCAAATCCTAATAAAGAAACATCCAAATTCAAATTTTAAAATTCATTATTCAAGTGCTATAAAAAAATCCAAACTTTTAGGAAAGATCATATATAGTTGAAGCAATCTTGCACTAAAAAAAACATATTTATTACTAATATTGAGGCGGGAGGGGCGCTCTCAAACCATGGTCTCAAAGTATAATCTACAACTGTCCGTTAAAAATAGCGGATTGAAACCGCCCTGCCCACATGAAGAGAGATTTTTATGTATACCCATCTAGAACGATGCGGTGCGAGCGGTTAGACAGTTTGCAAATATTCATGTGCAACCCTAAAGGGGGTTGGCCTGGCATGAACTCAAAGCTCGACGAGTTTAGGGCCAGCCTAGCAAACTTTATAAGAAATTAAAAAAAAAAAATTGTAAAAAATTTGAATAAGCTTTTAGGCTCGAAACTTCGGTCCAACTAGGCTTGGATCTTAGAGCCAAATCGAGTCCAGGCCGACAGTGGTAGGTCTCGAGCTATTCTATTTGATTGGGTCCAAAGTTCCAGCTCTACCCGCTGCTGTCCTTTGTGGTGTCGTTATATATATATATATATATATATATATATATATTGTCGTTCATTAAGTTAACTGTCGTTTTCACTTTGACGACGTTTTAGACGTGCTTGTCATTTCGTTTATTATATAATTCATAACCTGATTAAATGACATCAAATAACACAAGAAACAGGTCGTTTTCTGTTATAACGACAGTGAGCTTCAACAACTAAGAAGCGACATGTCGTATCACGTTACAACTCTCTTTTTTTAAAGTGGGTGACGGATAGCATATTACATATGGTTTGATTAGGGATGAGTAACATGTTTTCCAGTTATAGAACAATTTTACTAATTCAAATGAAACATTTTCTACATAGCGTGCCTATTTATACTTCATGTTTCTAAACTTTAAAAATATTATTAAAATTATATCAAAATAAAAAAATTATACAAACAAAAAACATGTTACAAATATAATTTGAAATAGAGTTTCATTAATACGGTATTTTCTCACACCAAAATGATCTTTTTAGAAAATTGGTTTGGTAAATAATAAAGAAAACATCAAAAAGAAAAGCGAAAACACACACACACAAACATATTATTAACAAAGGGACTTTCTCTGGTAGTTTGTTAGTACCGATTTTGTTTGGTCAAAATCACACTAAATTAAACAAATATGTAGTACAAACAATTTTTTATACAAATCTAAAGGTTAAAAAATCGAGAACTATTGATAGTTTATATTTTCTGGTCCATCAAAAAAAAGAACTAAGAAATGAAATTTTAGATTTTCTCACACCAAAATTATCTTTTTAGAAAAAAATAGTCTCGTAAATGGAAACTTTCTTTGGTAGGTCTCCTAATTAATAGAGTTAGTTTTCGACCGTTAAATCTCGTTAACATATACTAAATTAAAAAAATATACATAACAAAATATAATCTGATGGCTGAAAAATAAAAAACTCCTAATAATTTATTTTTTCTGATACTAATAGAAAAACTCCCAAATAATAATAAAAAAAAACTTCAAAAAAATACTCACCCACACAAACATATTATTAAAAAAAGAGAAAAAACTAACAAGTAACAAGAAACGAAATTCTTCTAGGATTCCAGTTACGTTCTCCAATTTTTGTGGAGTTTGACAGTCCTGCCTAATACAATAGTAGAGGGTTTGATAATTTGTGCTCAACTTTTCATTAATCAGTTGTGGTATTTATACAAGAGAAATAGTAAACAGAATCTATAAATAAGGAAACAAAAGCTGTACATATCAAGTAATAAAGGAAACGTTGACTAGATAATATATATACAATTAAGCCTAGAGTTATGCACACACTATTCACACGCTATTACGCCCCCTCAAGATGGGGATCCAAAGGAAATCCCAATCTTGATACACAGATCATGAAGTCGCGGTCTTGATAAAGACTTAGTGAGTGCATCGGCAAGTTGATTAGAAAAGGAGACATGAGAGACACGTAGAGCTCCTCGCTCAACCAGGTCCCGAACAAAATGATAGTCTACTGCAATATGTTTCATACGAGAGTGGAAAACAGGGTTGGCACAAATGTTTGTAGCACCAATGTTATCACAATAGATGGCCGGTAATGTAGATAGAGTAATACCAAGCTCGGTAAGCAGATGAGTAACCCACTGAAGTTCAGAGGTAGTAGAAGCAACAGCACGATATTCTGCTTCAGTGGAGGAACGAGCGACAGATCGTTGTTTCTTTGAGCTCCAAGATACAGGATTGGGACCAAGAAAAACTACATACGCTCCAATAGATGTGTGATCATCTGAGTCTGCTGCCCAATCAGCATCAGAATAAGTGTGAAGAGACAGCGACGAGAGACGACAAAGAAGTAGAAGATCAATAATATATTGGCATTGAGAAAGAAGAATACCAGCAGAGTGTGGTAAAACCTCAACTCCCAATAAGTATGTGAGGGGATCAAGATCCTTTAGTGAGAAGCGCGCAGCAAGTTGGGAGACAAATGTACTCAGACGAGTCGAATAACTGCCAATAAGTATAAGATCATCAACGTACACAAGAAGATAAGCAGTGAAGTCTGTATCCTGATAGACAAATATGGAGGTGTCTGACCAAGTGTTGACAAATCCAAACTCGAGAAGAAAGTGTCGAAGCTCATTGTACTAGGCACGGAGAGCTTGCTTAAGTCCATAAAGGGCTTTCTTTAACTTGCACACATGAGAGGGGTAGTTGGTGTCAATGAAACCCGGTGGTAGAGCCATGTAAACATCTTCTGTGAGGTTTCCATGAATGAATGCATTGTTGACATCTAGTTGACGAAGCGACCACCCTTTAGAGAGAGCAATACTGAGGATTAAGCGTACTGTAGTGGGTTTAACGACAGGACTGAAGGTATCATGAAAGTCTATACCAGGTCATTGTTGAAAACCCTTAGCAACGAGATGTGCTTTGTACCGATCGATTGAGCCATCAGGACTGCGCTTGATACGAAATACCCATTTGCACCCAACAAGATTCTGAGAGGGATCGGGAGGAATGAGATCCCGAGTGTCATTGCGTAAAAGAGCATCAAATTCCTCGGACATAGCACGGCGCCAATTGGAGTCACGAAGTGCATGTGTGACAGATATGGGTTCATGATGTCTAGATGAGGCAACTGTAAGGAGATAGTACTTCGGATTGGGTTTGACTATGTTATTATTAGCTTGTGTAACCATGGGATGGAGGGTGGTAGGAGGAGAGGCATCAAGGGGAGATGGCGGAGAAGCTTCGCAGGGGGGCAGCAATGTAGACGACATAGACGAGGGGCGCAAAGACGCCATGATTGGGTTTGATAGACTGGGAGTGGACAAAGGGATAGCAAAATAGGCGGGAGTGGTAGACAACCAGGCAGACTCAGACTTATAGAGTACGTTGGAAGAAGAAGACCGATGAGCAAAGGGAAAAACCGTTTCGACAAACTCGACATGATGAGAGACATAGTACCTAGATGTAGTTAGATCATAACAACGATAAACACTTTGGGTCGAGAAGTAACCTAGAAATACATATGGTTTTGATTTAGGTTCCATTTTGTGAGAAGTGTAAGGATGAAGCCAGGGATAACACAGACAACCGAAAATGCGTAGTTTGGACATGTTGGATGACTTGGAAAACAGTTTTTCATAGGAGGACATCATGGTGAGGTTTTGTTTGGGCATACGGTTAATGAGGTAGACAGTTGTGGTGAAGGCATCAGGCCAAAAGGTGGTAGGTACATAAGCATGATGAACGAGAGTGAGGCCTGTTTCGACAATGTGACGATGACGGCGTTCAGAGAAGCCATTATGTTCAGGGGTATGGGGTGGGGTGGTGAGATGGGAAATACCATTTTGAGCCAGATAATTTTTGAGAGCAAGGTATTCACCCCTCATTGTCATTGTATAGCTGAATGATTGGCTTGTTAAAAAATTTTTCCACAAGAGCCTTGAATTGAGTAAAAACGATAAAGACATCAGATTTGTGTTTTAGTGGGTAAAACCAAATATAACAAGTAAAGTGATCCACAAAAATGATGTAGCACTTATATCCATCATTCGAAAGAACTGGAGCAGTCCAAACATCAAAAAATATTAAATTTAAAGGCGATGAAGATACTAAAGTAGACTCAGAAAACTGGAGCTTATGGCTCTTATTACATTTGCAGGAATCACAATGAAAGCTGGAAAGAGAACTAGAGTCATGTACTAATTTATTTTTAGAGACCAAATGACTAACAATAGTAGTGGAGTGGAGGAATGACCTAAACGCGAATGCCAGACAGACGTGGCACTTTGACAGATGAGAAGGCAAGAAGAGGTCCGGAGATAGTAGAGGAGTCAGGCCACACGTATACACCATCTTTACTAGGTCCTTGGAGTAAAAGTGCCCCCGTGCAAAGATCCTTCACCTGAAATGAGTTAGGCAAAAAAATTATGGACACATGGTTAGTTTTACAGAGCTGAGAAACGGAAATGAGGTTCTTTTTCATAGCAGGTATGCATAGCACATTATCAAAGTAAAATTGATTGTTATTATGAGACAGTGAGAATGAGCCAGAGTAAGTAATCGTCAAACCGTTGCCATCACCAATCAACACATCGTCAATTCCCTCATACGGAGTGTGTAAAGAGAGATTGGATAGGTCTGCCATTATATGATGAGAGGCTCCCGAGTCAAGAAGCCATTCAGAGTGAGACAGAGTCACATGAATGGCAATATGAGCACTAGGTACATTTTATGGGCGCTACATGGTATAGGCCGGCGGAGAAGCGGGAGGCGTGAGAGGTCGTGGCTGAGGTGGCCAAGGGACACCTTGCAAAAAGATGCAGCGCCGAGCGGAGTGGCCTTACTTTTCACAAAATTGACAACACCCTAAATAAGGCTTGTTTGGACGCTGTGGATTGGTGCCGGATGGTCCGGGTGATCGGGCCCGAGGAGAGTATTATCTTGGTGAATACAGCGGAGCTACAGGCTGTGGCGGCTGGCGTTGAGGGCCACGGTAGTTGGACCGAACAGCGGGATTCGCCGAGGCTAGATGTGTGGTGGCAGGGAGATGGGTAGTGCCGGTGGTGTTGTTGGACTTGTTTTTCTGATTGGCATCAAACATGAGGAGCTTCTCATGTAGTTCTTCAAACGTGATCGGTGATTCACATGCATGAATCACGTCTGCGATTTCACCATAACTGTCATCAAGGTCGTTGAGAACCTTGAAGGTAAGATCCTCGATGTCCATTGGCATATTCAAGAGAGCCAATTCATATGCTCTACATTTAATCCATTGCATAAATTCAGTGATGGATTAAGTACCTTTAAGTGGGTTGGTTAGTTGACCTTTGAGCTGTGTGATACGTCCTCGTGATGGCTTTGCATAGGTATCGGCAAGGATTTTCCAAGCGTCGAACGATGTGCGCACAGTGGCGATGAACGGAATAAGTGATGGTGAAAGATAGCCAATAATTGCATTGAGAATCAATTGATCTTGCCGAATCCACAATGAGCACTCGGGATTGGGTTGTGGCGGTGCAGCGGTGGCAGTGGTTGTCGTGGTGGCCTTAAGAGCGGGAGGACATGGTCGAGTGCCATCGACAAATCTCATGAGATCATATCCGATCAACAGTGTGTGAAATTGAAGTCGCCATGAGACATAGTTGGTGGCAGTGAGTTTGAGCGGTGCTTGTGCCGCCACATTGAATGAAATAAGGTGATTACCATGGTCAAGAGGATTAAACATAGTGGGACGAGAAATGGAGGAAGTAGCAGTGTTTGGTGAGGAATCAACCATGGTGAGAAAAGAAAGAATGGGCTGAAGTTTTGAAGCAAGGTGAGAAGGAAAAAGGTGGGCAACAAATGCTTTGGGTGTTAGCCTCAAAAGGCTCTGATACCATAATACAATAGTAGAGGGTTTGATAATTTGTACTCAACTTTTCATTAATCAGTTGTGGTATTTATACAAGAGAAATAGTAAACAGAATCTATAAATAAGGAAACAAAAGCTGTACATATCAATCAACAATGGAAACGTTGACTAGAGAATATATATACAATTAAGCCTAGAGATATGCACACACTATTCACACACTATTACTGCCCTCCCACGTCTAAATAAACGTTAACATTCATACACGTATGACCCATTTAGTTCTCTAATTTGAGTTGAGATGTAATTTTATGTGAGTTTTTTACTGTAGTAAAAAAATTAGATGTGATTGTTTCTGAGAGCTTTTTACTGTAACAAAACTCGAATTCTAAACTTGAATCGGTGAAATGAACAGGGCCATAATATAGCATCCATCTCCATCTAGTCGGTGGCGGGGTCAGATCTTGATTCAGAAGAGCATAAACTAAAAACATGAAAAATGCTAATGAAATCAACTCTTAATTTTTTTAGATGAATAATATATATGTATAGATTACTGAACATACTTGAGTAATAAATATTTTAGTAAGTAATTAGATAAGAAAACTATTTAGGAGGTACATAATACATATTGGAAAACAATGGCTGCAAGTGCTAAAAGAGGAAAAAAGATCTTTAAGTATATAGGACACATTTGAATAAATACATATTACTTCAACAAGGGCAAGTTAGAGAAAATATATGTGTGAGAGCATAATTGAGAGGGTTGTTTGAAAAAAAAATTCTCAATTAAGGACAATTTTGAGAAAAAAAATATTTTAGAATTGGATTTTATGAGAATATATTTAAAATTTTTATTGATAAGGGGGGCATATATGAAAATATTTTGAGAAACATATACTAAAAATCAAATATGAAAATTTCAGGGAGGGCATATCCACCCAGGCCTCACCTCCCTCCGCCACTGCATCTAGTCATCTACGACATAGTTCTTTCCTCTTTGCAAGACTTTTCAGTTGAGCAGAGCGTTAAAGCTGAGCAGTGTGCACGGTCGTTTGCTGATAAGGAAGCGGCTCAAGATTTCAATCCATCTTAGCTTCTGTTTGGATTCTGGAGTTTCACGGGCAAACTTGGATATTTCTTACGCTGGTACTGTTATGTTCTATTTTTTCCTCTCTAACTGTTACATTTCAATAATTCACTTCTTATATATATTCCATTATTTATATGCTAATAGATGAGAATTCTTATTTTTTTTTCTTTTTCCTGTGGGAAATTGGAATTCTGATTGTTCATTTCGTTATGTCATGCGTTGTTTTGGTGTCTCCTACTTATGTTTTTGTATGTGCTCGCAATATGTTTGAGGAAATGCCTGGTCCAATCATATAATATCAATGGGAGATCACCTTTTAGGTTTCTATTTTTTTCTATGAACCAAGTATTTAAGAATTAAGAATATTATCGATTCTGGGTAGTTGTAGAAATGTCATGTGAGAACTTCCACTTGGTTCCAGTTTATGTTATGAAGTTTTCCAAGTTCTGGTGGAACATTGCTTCAATCTAAACTAGGAACCTTCTTTTTGGGTACTTAAAGGCAAAAGAAAATAATAATAATAATAATAATAGTAATAGTAATATCGAACGAAAAGGGATATTCGCGCTATTCTTTTAGTATTGTTATTGTTTATACTTTTGTCCACCAACCAAAAAAACAAAAAAACAAATATTCATGTCTAGTTGCTTATGTTGCATTACGAATTGTCCTTTGCTTCCTCTGCTTTTTAAAAGCTACAGCCGCAGAAGCATCATCATACTTATCTTGATTCTTTTTGTACTTTGTTTCATACTAGGATACAGCGACCAAGAGTGATAGCCATCGTAAATAAATGTTTCAGCGACCTTCAGCAGTATCCTCTGCACCATGGGAGTCGTCTCAGAATGGTGACTTATTTCTTTCTGTTGGTCTTCAATCACACTAGAGAAAATAGCCAAAAAAACAAAAAACAAAAAACAAAAAACAAAAAACAAAAATAGAAAAACAAAAAAGCCTAGAGATTCATGTTCCTGAACATAGTTTTCTCAACTCATCTCATCTTTTTGGCAGGCCTTTTTCTAAGTATAATAGAGTTCAAGAGGCCTCAGTTATCAGCTTTAAGGTGGTCATATAAACTTGGATTCAAGGTTTGTGTTCTCCCATTTATATTTGCTTATCTTTTTCACATCTAGTGTCATGGAAATTAATCAACAGAAATTAGTAAGACTATAAAAATCCTTATCCAGGGACTGCTCATTTGAGTTCAAGGTCGATGAAACGTGTATATTTGAGTTCACAAAACCCAGTTTAATGAAACATTTGTGTGTTTGAGTTCATGTTCGTCTTTGAGAGATATATTAAAACACAATAGTTCTGAGAATTCATACTAAAAAGTTTCTTACTGCAGTTTGAGCGTGAAGAACAGCTTCATAAAGGTAGAACAGCCATTTTAGGAACCAGAATGTGTGCAAGTCACAAGCCAATGCCAAAACCAACTTTCAGAAAACAAGGATCATATCCCCAAAATGTGGATCTCCCTCCAATACTACCCAAGAAAAAGAAGAAACCCTTTCCTATACCCTTAAAGAAGATGAAGCAAGCTGCAAGACAGGACAAAAAACTAGCAGAAATGGGTATCGAGAAGCCCCTTGACCCTCCAAAAAATGGACTGCTTGTCCCTGACCTAATTCCTGTTGCTTATCATGTATTGGACGCCTGGAAGATCTTAATTAAAGGCGTTGCACAGCTGTTGCATGTAGTTCCCGTATATGCTTGCAGGTATTTATGCTTTACTATATTACTCCGCTAACCCATCTTTAAGTAATTTAATGCCGTTGTGTCTTAATTCTGTATGAAGTTAGGCTTATACATAGCTATGACATTGTTCTACTTATTTGCAGTGAGTGCTCCGAGGTTCATGTGGCTCAGGCTGGCCACCAGATTAAGGACTGCAAAGGCCGGACCAGTGGAAAGCGCCAAAGCTTCCACTCATGGATCAAGGGTTCCATCAATGACATACTAATCCCCATAGAATCATATCACCTCTATGACCCCTTTGGCCGGCGCATTAAACATGAATCACGATTTCAGTATGACAGGATCCCAGCTATCATGGAGCTATGCATCCAAGCTGGCGTGGACATACCGGAGTACCCTTCTCGGCGGAGGACCAAACCCATCCGCATGATTGGGAGGAAAATGATTGATAATGGGGGAAATGTTGAGGAGCCTAAGCCATGTCGCTCTGCAAATCCATCTTCCCTTGTTGATCTCGATACCCATGGGGCATCTTTGAGGTTCCCACCTCCTTTACCAGCAGATGTACCAAGGATTGCGCAGGAGACGATGGATGCGTATGAAGTTGTTAGATTAGGAGTGACGAGGTTGATGAAAAAATACACGGTGAAGGCATGTGGATATTGCTCAGAGGTTCATGTGGGACCTTGGGGTCACAATGTTAAGCTATGTGGGGAATTCAAGCATCAGTGGAGGGACGGGAAACACGGTTGGCAAGACGCTATTGTGGAAGAAGTGTTTCCTCCGAATTATGTGTGGCATGCTAGAGATCCCAAAGGCCCCCCTTTGAGGAGTGCACTCAAGAGATTCTATGGGAAAGTGCCCGCCGTTGTTGAATTATGCTTGCAGGCTGGTGCAAAGATTCCTGCGAGATACATACCCATGATGAGGCTTGACATTGTAGTCCCCGACACCGAGGAGTCAAATTTAGTCGCCTGATGGACTGGCAAATGTAACTCAAACTTGCTTTTTAGTGCATAACAATATGAGAAATGTATAGGTCTAATTACCTCAATTGCATTTATAAACCATACGAGTACTTGTTCCCTTCATTTTTTCGTGAAAAAAGGTAATATAACATCGATTTTTGCATATTATGTGTTAAAATCATTCAAAAGCGTATTGCATAATCTGGACATTGGTTAAAAGTATTTGCTTTGTCACTTCTTTTTTGTTCTTTTATCAAATAGTCATCTGGACTTTCTCGTTTCTGATTTCTTATCACTGTGAAGTAGTACAGACATTCAGAGTGAACTGTTCACGACCCTTTTAAACTGAGAACTTTGTAAAGCCGATGTGGGTTTGGCCATAGCGCAATTGGTGGAGAAAGTTTAGGGCTTTGCGTGGGGCTTGCCCCATTGGCAGTACAGTTTTTGCCATTTGGTTGGGCCAAGGGAATATGGTATACAAATTTGGAGAATTACGTAATCGGGTATGAAAGTAAAAGAGAAATAGTAGAAAATATGCCAATATAAAAAACTTAAGAAAGTATACAGGCTAATTTTTAATTATAAAAATTAATAGGTCATATTTGTCAAGTTATGGTTCATAATCAGATAAGTTATAAATAGTAGAAAATATGCCAATATAAAAAACTTAAGAAAGTATACAGGTTAATTTTTAGTTATAGAAATTAATAGGTCATATTTGTCAAGTTATGGTTCATAATCAGATAAGTTATGGACAAACTTGTCAAGTTATGGTTCATAGTCAGACAAGTTATGAATAATTATGGGCAATTGCTTGTCAAGTTATAGTTCATAACCAGACAAGTTATGGACGAAAATAGTAATTTGACCTATTTATTAACTTATGTAAACTATTGACCTATTAATTTTAATTCATCTCAAATCTTGACATATTTCTCTCTTTCTCCCAAAGTAAAATACCCTGTCGATAATGTGTAAATTATAGACAATTGAATACATCAGGATGACATTGTTAAGAAGGTACGTAAATTTAACGAAATTTGGTGAAGATATCATCATACATAAAGGTTCAAGGTTGGCTATGCGTATCATGAGATGCAGTGGTGGAGTTAAGATTTTGTTTTAGAGGGGTATAAATTAAAAATGTCAAAAATATTAAAAACACTAATAATATTAACTCTTAATACTATTAATTAATTGAAAATAAATGTATGTGCGTATTGATCAATTTATTGAATTTTTTTTTATATATACGTGAAATAAAATTTTAAAGAGAATAGTGTAAGTTTTAAAAAAGGTGTTTATTACCTCAACAAAGGCAAATTAGAGCAAAGTTGTTTATGAGTATATAGTAATTGAGAGGTTACCTGAAAAAAAACAAAAAACAACTTAATTAGGAATACATTTGAGAAGTATAATTTTATTGGGTTATATAATTTTTTTTTTTTTTTTTTTGGTGAGGCTCACTTTTGATACAATAAAGATTATATTAGAAAAATATTTTTAAAGTGTCAAATTTGAAAAATAAAAATTTCAATTAGAGTAAAGTAAAAAACTTCAATTAGGTACATTTGAAAGTATATGATTTAATAGGAAAAAAGTTTGGATTTTGGTTAAGATAATTTAAAATTTTATTAATGAATGGGGCATATATGAAAAATTTGAAAATAATGGGGTAAAATTTAAAAACCAAAAATCCAGAGGGGGCATATGCCCTCCCTCGGTCTCACCTCCCTCCGTCCCTGATGAGATGATGTATCATGGACGTTTGGTAGAGGGATTCGTTCCCTGATTCGAATCATGATTCGTGGTTCGCTACAGTATTTTCTCTCACAAAAAATACACGTAAATCGAAAATAGTTCGAATCACATGATTTGAATCCTCCAACTAAACATCTCAGACCGTTCCGTGATTGAAGATTAGATGGAATATTTATGGTAGCTGTGATTTAAACAAAAGTATAATACATTAGGAAAGAGAGACATAGAGACATTATTATACAGTTAATGTAGATAAATCACTCAAATATTGACTATTTATTTGAAAGGTGAATTACATTAGCCTAACAACTTGGTAGACCAAGTATCCTAAATAATTTATATGATAAGGTATCTTTTAAAGTAGAATTAAACAGAAACAGTAGTTTGTGCCTTTATGGTTTATCATTTGACTAATCAAACTTTTTTTCCAATCAATGATATTAAATTGCAAAGATTTCCTTCAAGCAGTCAAGGATGACAATCCCTTTTGAAGGGAAAGATGTCTCTAGATGGTTTTGAGGGAATTCAGTCTAATTGTCACCACAACATATTTTTGATGTAATCACATTAGCAAAAGTTGTTGTGCACCTCAAAAGAGAAAGAAAACGAAAAAGGAAAAAAAAAAATCTTCAAATGGTCAAATAAACGCCAAAAACATAACAATCGATGACAACAGGAATCTTTGATCGAAATCGACTAAAATATTGAAACTTTTTTAACAGGAATTGACCAGGTCAAATGCACAAGTTTGTGTAAGTAAGCAAATCAAACATATTTGCGCTTTGTAGGCTATCATGGCATAATATTGTTGAGGACACAATCAAACTTTGGTCTTTTCCCTTCTTTTCATGCGAAGAAGAGGCATCGTTGAGAGCTTTCCCAAATGTCAGTCACAAAAGAGAGAGATTCCCCATTTCTCAATACTGTCATTACAACACTTTACTGCATCAGTCGTTTTCTAAATTCTAAGCCAAATGTTTGCTTTGAAGGCATTGAATCCAAATACAGAGTGTAACGCATTATTTTTTAGTGTTGAGTGATTTTTTTTTTATCGCCGGGTTTCATTTAATAAGAACATGGTATATAGACTTCGTTCATTTCACGAATTCGAGTTTTTAATTTCAATTTTACTACAGTTAAAAACTTTCGTAAAAAGTTATATCTAACTTTTTCTATACAGTAAAAAACTCTCACATAAAATCACATTTCAACTTAAATTAAAAAATCGAATCAACGAACGTAACGATGTCATAATATAAATCGATTTATCCATCGTTCAATACCTAAAAGTTACTAGAAAATTGATGGCCATGGTCCCCAAAGTATTGGGTTCCAGAACCCTCCAAGCACCAAACTTAAAAATTATATAAGGCAATAATAAAAACACAAATCGTTTTAGTTGCAATAAAAAAGACAAAAAATAAAAAATAAAAAATAAAAAGTGACCTGCATTACATCAGAAATCATTGAAGGGTATCATTTGGTTGCTTGTTTCTTTTCTTTCCTACACCAACAGGCAGATTTCCTCGCGGGTTTGAACTTTGAACCTTGTTTCATCAACTCACTATTAAAAAAATTATCACTTAAAACTAATAAAATATCCAAAGCAAGAGTACTGAAATCATGGGAATATGATGTATAGGCATATTATCCTTTTTGTCTTTTGAGCCCAAGTCTCACCTGCTGTGATAAGAATATTAAGTAACACCTTCAAAATTTTTTAAATGGTAGGTAACCTTAATTAATTATTCGCACATAATGAACTTCCAATTTTTTTTTCTTTTTGGGTAAATTTCATTCATGCACTCTAAATTTATTATTATTTGCACGTTGCACCCTATATTTTTAATTTTGGCATTTAACACTCTAAGGCCTCGTTCATTTTACCGATTCGAGTTTTCAGTTTTAGGTTTCTACAGTAAAAAACTCTCAGAAAATGTCACATCTAACTTTTTCTGCTACAGTTAAAAGTTCTAAAAAAATGTCACATCTCAGCTCGAATTGAAAACTCAAATCCGCGAAGTGAACGAGCCCTAAATTTTACAATCCTTAACAACGCGGTCAAATCAATAACGAGTGTCAATTAATAAATGACAAGCAGGATTTTAAATATCAAAATTTTAAAAAAATTATGGTCCAATTTACTATTTTGTGTAAAATTTTTGGGTAATTTTTATCCTAATTGACCCGTTAGTTATTGAACCACAATAGTAATAAATTTTAAAATTGAAGGTGTCATGCAATTAACTTTTTTTTTTTTCATTATTCGCTTATCAACATCATAACAAACTAACTGTACCACACTGCTTAAAAAAGACATTTATAGGCTTCATTCATTTTACCGATTTGAGTTTAAAATTTGAGTTTTACTACAATAAAAAGCACTTAGAAACAGTCACATTTAATTTTTTTGTTACAGTAAAAAACTCACATAAAGTCACATCTCAACTCGAATCAACGAGTTAAACGGACCCATAGTTTATCCGTTTACTGTGGTGAATCAACTTGGTTATTGCTTCAAAGTAATTAGTTCAAATCCATTTTTAGGTTCCAACTTTTCTGCTCGTAGTTTAGCTATTAAGAGTAAAAGATGAACTTGATCTGATTGTGTTCTTTTAGAACAAAAGTGATGAATACGGGCCCAGATGTGTGAGTCTGCAATTTTTGAGGTCCCAAAGTGGAGTATTACAACGGCTGGAAGAAAAGCATTTTTGGCGCCAAGAAAAAAAAAAAAAGAAAGAAAAAAAGATCATCTAGTTGAAGATCACCTTTGCTTTAATCTGCGCCGTGGCATATAAAGCCCAAGCTACAAAGGCCGAAAGACCTCACACCATCATAGAATAGGGATGATTTTTTCCTTTTTCCGGTAACCTTTGAAATTCAAATCCAACGGTCTATTTTCTTTCTTCTTTTTCTTCTTCTTCTTCTTCTTCTTCTTCTTTTTTTTGTTTTTGTTTTTGTTTTTGTTTTGTTTAACTCTTATCCATTTTCCCATGTGCTGCCTCTACTTTACTACTACTATTATTATTCCGATGTACTCATACTTGCCTACGCGATCCTCATAGCATTCAAACTCCTGGGCTTTGTTTTTGGGAAATTTCTGGACGCATTTAGAACTTATTTTAAAATAATTTTATTTTTTATATGAAAATAAAAATAAAAATGTTTTTAATCTCATATATAATTATTTTTAAAAATGTGTTTTGTAATTTTATCAAGAGATTATTTTTAGTATAAAAAAAAATTCATTAATGTCTCTCTCTCTTTCTCTCTGTTCGAGAGAGAAGAAAACGAAAATAAAAAATGAAAAAATAACTAAATGTCATTTTTTATTTCTCTCTCATTTTACATTAAACTAAAAAATTATTTT